CGCTGTATCCGCAACTTTTGAACAGTTTTGTTATATTGCGTCTGAAAAGGAAATATTCTTTTCTGAAAGCCGATTTGCCTCTAACTTATTTCGCGATATTGCATGCACACTTCGTGGTAGATTGTGTCATATTTGGAGCTGAAGTCGTATTACAAATCTTGAAGGAAAGATCCAGGACACAGTCCGAACTTTCATGAAAAAAATGCTGTGAAGGAAGTGTTTTAATCATGTTGCCTTGCATTTCGGTAACGATGACGAATTGTAGATCCGGACAAGGCTTGTGGCTGATTTCAGAAAATATGGAAAAATATTTTCACCACACTTCAGTGGTCAAAATCAGGAAACTTTTAGGAAATGTTTCTAAAAGTGGTAGATCGTGCAGTGATTCCTCCTAACCGAGGACGGCAGTTTTCATTAACCATTCACTGATCAAACTTTATGCCTGGCGCAAGGAGTTATAGCCTAATCAATGAGGTACTAGGTCAGTGTCTTTACAAGTGTCCGTTTTGCAGTAATGACCTGCATGCCAATGGGAAGTTTTGGAAGTGAAGTTTTCGTACTGCACCAAGACCAATGATATGACAGAGAAATAGAAATGGAAACATACAGACTGAACTATGGACATGGAGACCGGATTGAGCCGTTAATCTTTTATTACTAATGTGTCTAGAGTGCTACAACAACTGTCACAAACATTGACAATATCTTTGAGCAGTTTACATGTAGGCTAGTGTTTTTGTACCATTCCCACTTGCTTCTTCGTTCTGTAAGGTAGATTTGCCCAGTCAATTACGCAGTAAAGCACTTAAGCTGCAGGTACCGTTGTTAAGTGTAATCTGTCCTAGCACTGGGCGCCTAGTTTTTCCAGTCATTTGCTCTGATAAGCCCAGTCGGTTGTTTTTGATTATTTCCGTACGAATCGAACTAGCCGCACCTTTTAATTTTCAGTGTTAGCTGAGCATTACTCCGACAAAACTAGATTTCACAGGATAATGCACTGCCTATTTGCTCATAGTTTTCTAGGGGGCATTTAAAGATGTGACGGTTTCATGCATCTGCGGTTCCAGGCGCATCTCGAGATATTGTTTGTAATGAGCGTGAACTGGCTCAAACGAAAAAATTGATGCGAGTTGCATCGTACACCGCAGATACTCATCTACCATT